CTAGTGTCCTGGCCCCACTGATGGACCACCTGATGGCACCTGGTATTTTTGACCACTATACGACAGAGTGTTGGACTGAATGGGCCATTGGCCTGATCCAACACTGGCTTCTCTTATGTTCTTATCATGCGCTGAATATCCCTAGAAATTACAGCAATAGAGACACACACATGATTGCTGTTCTCAGCAAAAGCCTTGATGTCTGCCACAATGGCTTGGATCCCCCCCAAGAATTTCAGTGGGCAGGGAGTTCATTTTCCCCAATTCCCCCCTCCTGCAGTAGCCCTAAATGACCTCTAAAACATTGATCCTTTGGGACAGGAATAGCTTGGAGAGGAAACGAAGCCTTCTACAGGACAAAGGAATCTATGAATATCCCCACCCTCCAACCTGTGCCTGGAAATTCTAAGTGGAATCCTGAAAATGGAAGATGAAGTGGTTAAAGACTGTATGGTTAAATGAATGCAAAATATAGGTTATAATATGGATCTTGCACAGAAGAGTAAACTGTGGAAAGTGAATGTGAAAGTAACTAAATTGGTTGCATTCAAAGAGAATTTGTATAAAATGTATTTAACACCAGATAGTTTTTTTAACTTTTTAGCTAACCTATGTCAAATAGCTGCTGGAAGAGCAAAAAATATGTGGGTACATTTTACCATATGTGGTAGACACACGACACTGTACGCAGGTTCTGGATTATGGTAACATACCTTTATACAGACAGTTTTGCAGATTTCATTACCTTTTCAACCAGAATTGTTCCTACTGAATTGCATACCGAATGATTTTGACAAAAATCAAAGGTATTTTATCATTCATGTAGTAACAGCAGCTAGAATCTTACATGCAACCTTTTGGAAACTTCCAACAATACCTTCTGAATAAGACCTAATAGTGAAGACTATGGAAAGTGTAGAGATAAACTGACTTTGATGCTAAAAGGGCAAATGGAAGAAGATTTTTTCAGACTATGGACTCCTTTTTATGACTCATAAGAACATAAGAACATAAGAGATGCCAATGTTGGATCAGGCCAAAGGCCATCCAATCCAACACTCTGTATCACACAGTGGCCAGAAATACCAGGTGCCATCAGGAGGTCCACCAGTGGGGCCAGGACATTAGAGCCCTCCCACTGTTGACCCCCCCAAGCACCAAGATGACAGAGCATCACTTGCCCCAGAGTCCCCATCTATACCTTGTGGCTAATAGCCACTGATGGACCTCTGCTCCATATGCTTATCTAATTCCCTTTTGAAGCTGCCCATGCTTGTAGCCGCCACCACTTCCTGTGGCAGTAAATTCCATGTGTGAATCACTCTTTGGGTGATAAAAAAGATATACCAAGACATTAACTTTTTAATAATATAATATGAAAAAGCCTTTATGAACTTTTAAAATTTCACAGTCTACCTTTTTTAAATGTGAAATGATAAGTAGAGAAGATTTACATGCAGGAGACTTATTACTTTTGTTTCCTTTCCCTTCTCTACTCCTGTATACCCTAAACATTTAATAAAGTGTATTATAAAAAAAAAGAAAAAGAAATTCTAAGTGGAATCCAAGGCGACACCTAGTTTCACCTGATCTTTTAAAGAAAACCTGCTGACGCCTTCACATGCCTCCCAATACAAAAGCAAGAAAATGCTGATTACCTTTTACTTGGATGGGCGGTGGTATCAAAGGTGGCGCTTGACTGGCAGCAACTCGGCCTATAAAACAGAAGAACCTATTTGTGGTGGAGCGGAACCTGTTTGCTTCCTTATAACAGTTAAACAGAAATCCATTTTGAGACATTTTATAACCAGGAAATTGAAAGCTCAACAGACTTGGCCAGTAGCGGTCAATCATTATTTTGCTAGATGATTAGATATACTAACCCCAGCCATTTGAGTATTCCAGAAAAATCAAAACTGGAAATTTTTCTGGGAAGTTTTCCCAGGCCCTCAATAGACCATTATCTGGATTTAGCACATTCATTTTGACACTGTTAGTAAACAAATATTAGAAGCATCCAGAGTTATTTTTACATCCTAGTACAGGAGCTGTGGTGGCTCAAGTGGTTAAGACGCTGAACTGCAGGCTGTGGAAGGTCAGTAGTTCAGCAGTTCAAGACCCGGGTGCTGCATGACGGAGTGAGCTCCTGTCTCTAGTTCCAGCTCCTGCCAACCTAGCCGTTCGAAAGCAAGAAATTGCAAGTAGATAAATAGGGACCACTTCGGTGGGAAGGTAACAGCGTTCCGTGCACCTTGGTGTTTAGTCATGCCGGCCACATGACCACGGAAACGTCTTCAGACAGCGCTGGCTCTTCGGCTTGAAAACTGAGATGAGCACCGCAACCCTAGAGTCGGATTCAACTGGCTTTCGAGCAAGGGAACCTTTACCTTTACTTTACAGGAACAAATACTTGAGCGGAGTACTTCATTTTGGAAAAGACACAAATCAAGAGTGTTTTAAATGTTATTTTCACACAAATTCAAAGCTTCTGTGGAATCCCTTTTTACTGGGAAACTACCTGAACATTTTTGAACAGACGATAGCATGTACTTTCCTTATATGGTTTAAACAGAAGAAAAAAACGAAGCTACTGAAAACTGTTGCTAACTTGAGGACTGTGCACAATATGCCATGGATGCAGTTGTCCCATCATCTGTTTCAACAGAATGTTATTGTAGTCCATGGAGGTCATAAGGGCACCTTCTCACTTGCATCACTTGTTAGTTTCTTATCAGTTCCGTGATTAAAATATCCCTTCCAGCATCGAATTTCAGCTCTGGCTGTGCAGATCAAATCAATATCAATCAAGAGAACTCATAACTTGGTTTTTAAAATTTGGATTATTACATTTGTGGTTTTATCCCCCACTCCTGCCCACTCTGGTTTACAAATCAATAAAACGTATGTGTGTACTCTCACACATTTCCTAGGGATAATCACCAGAAAAATATTACAGACCACTTTGAAACGGCTACGCTTGCCTAAGACTGTATAAGCAAAGGCATCCATTCGTAGTTTTGATTATATGAAACCATAAATCTTCACAAATAGAAAATTTACTACAGAAAAATTTTCCACCTCCCATCTCTAATTGACGCAGCCACCAAATGGGGACTGGACTCTGTTGCTGAAGCAGACACTTCTCAACAAAAGCCATATACCCTGTTTCCCCGAAAATAAGACCTACCCCCAAAATAAGCCCTAGCAGGATTTCTATGCATTTGTGGTATAAGCCCTAGTGTGTCTTCTTGAGAAAAAATATAAGACAGTGTCTTATTTTCGGGGAAACACGGTAGTGGTCCCGGTCAAATGGGCCAGAAAATGTGGGGGGGAAGCGTGGCTGTTTGCCCCAGAGCAAAGTTTTTCGTTTTTGTTTTTAATCCCCTGCGAGCAGGGTAGCTTTATTATTTTTTTGTTACACCTATACACTACAGAAAAGAAAAAGGGAAGGGAAAAGTTACCCCAGGATAAAGGACAGAAAATAAAAAACCCACACTATAACTAAAATCCCAAGAGAGAGGGTTGTTAACAGTTAGTGTTCTGTTAGTATTAAAAATTAAAAAGTTTTTCGTTTAAGTCAATGTAATCAGAAATTAGTAAGTCCATGTTAGTATCTTCTCCATCATCTTCTGTGTGTGCAAAGAGTCCTTTCATCTTCATCTCTGTTTGCAAATTTCAAACCTCCAAAGAGTTACTTTGGTCCTCTAAGCCGCAAATCATATGTCGCTTTGGCCTCGCCACCTGTTGCTCCTTGGTCGTCGTCCCTGTCTTCTATGTTGACTGCTGCGCCTCCTCCTCCTCCTCCTTGCTGTTCTTCCTCCTTTCCAAAAAACCGCTTCAACCATTCTTCTGCTTTAAAAACCGAGTCTATTTTTTCCCTTTTGTCTTTGTATTTAAACATGACACCCTCTGGGAAATTCCAGCAATATGGAATTTGGTTGATCTGCAATGTGGAAATCAGCGCTTTGTAGGCTTTTCTTTTCTCACGAACCTCGAATGGCACATCTTTTAAAACTCTGATAGTTGTAGTTCCCAGCTGCAGGGGATTGGCTGCTGTTGCTTTGAGGATGTCATCCCTCGTCTGTCTTTGGAGAAACTTGACTACGATTTCACCCGGCAGGTTATTCCGTTTTATGTATTTGGAGTATGATCGATAGACCGTCTCGATTTCTGTTTCCGCTTCTGCCGCTGTGCCGCCCATCGCCGGTGCGATAAGCTCTGCCATCGTCTTTTTCAAGTTCTCTCCTTGCGCTTCAGCTATCCCCTGGAATCTGAGTGTCTTGTTTGCTTTTTCCATCTGTAGGTTCAATAATCTACGTTCCTGTGAATCTTGTCTTTGTTCTAGCAGACCAACTTTCTTTTTGACTTTTTTGGCGTCATGTACTGTCTCTTTAAGCTTTTCCTCTGTTTGGATTGACTTTTTGACCAGCTCGGCAATCTGCTGCTGTTGCTTTGCAAGGCTTTGGTTGGATGCGGTCATCTGCTGGTTAATACCATCGAGTCTATCGTTTATAGGCTTCAGCAGCTCCGATAGCATAGAGAGCAAGTCTCCTGCCTCCTCGCCCCTCGGACTCTGACCGCCCCTCCCAATTTGTCTGCCTGTTTTTCCTCGCACGCCGGCCATTTTTCTGCTTTGTTTACACTAGAAGATTAACTTCACTCTTCTTCGAAAAAACGCTCAAGGTTTTCTGCAAACACAGCTAAGTCTCTTGCACACTTCCGCAATTCTCTTCTCTCCCCCCCCCCTATTTTGTTAATAACATTTCAGTTTGTTTACGCATGGGAAACTTCCCAGACGCCGCTTTCCGGAGGGGGGGGGGAAGAACTCACTTTTTAAAAAAGTTTTTCGCTTGGCTCTTTCTCCGATTCATTGACCGTCTGCATCCAGACTCCTTGTAACTTCTTTAAATCGATAACCCTCGCTGCTTGTCCCGGTCGGCATCGGCTAAGCTCGGTAAAAACCGAACCTCGCAGGGGGAGGACCGATTGGGGCAAAGGAGCGCCTCAATTCTCCGGCATTGCGCCGCAGAAGAGGTCACCCCTCCCACGCCCCCGGCTCGGAGCCTTTCACTAAGGCTCACCTGGGGGTGCCACTTGAGGTGGCACCCCTCCAACCCCACTGGAGTGCGGAATACCTCCCCTACGATCGGGGAGAGTGTCCGCCATCGCCGAGCCACAGACCGGAAGTCTGCCCCAGAGCAAAGTAATGCATGGCAGCCCGATCACATGTCCCGTGGAGGTCCCATGGGTATGCCGTTAGGTGCCGATCACACGGCTATCCTGCGGCGCGGCAAAGAAGCGGTGCGGCGCGATCACACTGGCAATCGTTAGGTGCCGCTTCCGTGGCAAACAAATTTTTTCCCCTCACCACAGTGTGCTCATGTACCGCTGGGCATTTGTGTGCATCCTGTGGGACTTTAAAAAAAAATCCTGTTTGCAATGGGACATGGGCAGGCACCAGATGCCACGGGATTCCAGTAGAAACGCGATCAGACGCCCGCCCTTGCCCCACGTTTTCCAGAAACTAGTACATCCATTGTATTAGTTTTTTACTCTATATCTTCGGCAAGAAGCCACGGGTTAGCCACGGGTGCACTACGCTTCCCAGATGTTGCGGTGTGATCGCGCCCGGAAAATCCGCCTATCATCCGTATCTTTAGCGCAGCAAATGCTCCGTGTGAACGGGACCAGTGTTCCAGCACTCCACCCATGCACTCATGTAAATGGAAAGCGGCATCCATACTATGTTGAACCTTGCTTCACAGGGCATCCTGACAATCAGAGGCAGTTTTCTGGATAGGACAGATTGCAATGGGAAGGAGATGTCAGGAAAAGCTCGTGTGCACACAAGATTCTTTTAAAAACAAATCTTAGGGTAAAGATTGAGAGAAGTTTTGCACATTTTGCTGGTGAAACAGAATTATCATCATCATCATGAATTGTCACAGTCAGAAGTTTGACTGGTAGATGGTGTTCAGCGACAAGATCTAGGCAAGTCCTTGGGAATTGCAGAGGTATCTTCATAGGATTCTTGTTGTTCCAAGCAACACTGTCCTCTGGAGCTGAGCTGGTGTTATTTGCTCAATGCCCAGAATGTCCAGGTGTTCCCTGAGACTTCTAGGCACTGCTCAAAGGGCTCCAGTGACTATTGGCACAATGGTCACTTTCTTCTCCCAGAGGCTAACTCTATTCATAAATCTTGGTATTTTGTGATCTTCTCCTGTTCTTTCTTCTCTATTCTGCTGTCTCCTGGGATTGCAATATCAACCATCTAAACCCTATTTCTCATTTTTTTTCTACAATGGTGATATCAGGGGTGTTATTCTCCAGGTGCATTTGGAAGTCCCAAAGAGTCTTTGTTTCATCATTCTCCATGATCTTGTCTGGTTTGTGCTCCCATGAATTTCTGGCTGATTGTAACCCATACTTTTTGCAAAGATTCCAGTGCAACATAGCTGCAACTCTACCATGATGCTCTCTATAGGCTGCGGTCACACGGAGCATTAGCCACGCTACAGAGACGGAAGATAGGCGGATTTTCCGGGCGCGATCACAGCGCCACATCTGGGAAGCGTAGAGCTCCCGTGGCAAACCCAAGGCTTCCCGTCAAAGATGCGGGGTAGAAAACTAGTACCTCCGAGGTACTAGTTTCCGGAAATTACGGGGCAAGGGCGGGTGCCTGATCGCGTTTCCGGTGGTTGGTCGGGGCATCCGGCGGCTGCCCATGTCCCGTCACTAAAAGGTTTTTTTTCCCCAAGTCTCCACGGGATGCACACAAGCACTCAACGGCGCATGCGCACACTTTGTTTAAAAACAAACAACACAGCCCCCTCCTCTTTTCCGTACCCCCCCACTCCTGGCTCGGCCTGCTCGAGAGGAACTCTCTGCACCGGGCGGCAGAGGGAGAGGTGCAGGGGGGGGCATGGCGGGAGGGCGGCCCGGCTGACACTCCTCCTGGAGGGGACTGGACGGAGGACACAGTTTGCATTCCTCTGCAGCCCTGGAAGGGCTAGAGAGGCCGCTTCTTTGCCACACCGCAGGATTGTCCTGTGATCGGCACCTCCCCCCTAACCACGGGATCTCTACGGGACCTCTACGGGACGTCTGATCGCGCAGCTGCGCATTATTTTGCTCCGGGGCAAACAGTCACACTCCCCCCCCCCCCCGCGCGCGCGCGCATTTTCCTGCCCGTGTGACCGGGGCCATAGTCAGTCTGGGCAATTTTACTGCAGGCACTAACCACATGGGTTGACCGTTTCAATCCTTTGTCTTGCAAAGTCGACATTCACTGTCATCACTGCCTTTTTTATTATCATCACTATTATTACTTTTATTCTTACTTGCTCAGTGTCTGATGGCTTGTGCATAACTCCAGGGCAGAACTATAAGTGATACTCAACATGGACTGCCACCAAATAGGACAATCCCTTCCTGAATTCTTCCATCCACACACCCCAGTCATGTTTACTCAGACTTGCACTGTTTCCCTTCCCTCACCAGCATCAGACGGGACAGAGCAGGTGGCTCTGGCAAAATATAACTAGGAGATGGGTCGGACGTTGACACAGGGCCTCCACTTTCAGCACCAGCCTTCGGCCAAGTATCATACATAGTTCCAACTTCTGCTCTTTGAGAAGCAGTAGCTGCTGCTGAAAGAGGTGTGGACCATCGTGCCGTTTAGGTGTTAGGGCAGCACCACGGGAGCCACATGGGCGTGGAGCCTCATCAGCGCATGGGCTCTCACTACTCAGTCTTTCCCCCCAAACCCCAGCTGAGCAATGACTGCATGGGATGAGCTTGCGAGTTTGGCTTCACTCACATAATGGTGAGCTATTAAAAATTATAGCAGCCCTATGGCATTAATCCACAGAAACGTTTTGTCAAACATATTTGACACAATGAGCATCAGACATTCTCACAAAAGTTCTGCGACAGGGAACACTCAAAATCCAGTCAAACTACAGATTACAAAACCCTGCTAAAATACGACATAAAAGTTAGCCCAATGATAGGAAATCTTATGGCATTTCTGCAGGGACACAGGCTAAGACTGGGGAGGCCCCCCAAGCATCAAACAGTAAGAGAATGAGGGGCTAACCTGGATTTGATCTGGGAAAGCTGAGCAGAAATCTTTGCTTCTTTCAGAGATTTCAACAATACTGCCCAGATGGCTTGGCTGGCTTGAGAGCAAAGCCAGAAAAATAGTAGGCAATCTATATTTATGTATTATTATTTATTTAATTAGACTTTTATGCTCCCCTTCCCGCAGGCGGGCTCAGGGCGGTTCACAACACATCCAAGACAGACACATGCATGGCTCATGCCTGATGACACATATAGATGAGCAAGCAGATCAGACACCAGACAAAACTAACAGTGGAGCCAGTTCACATGTTCGACTGGGAGTCATCAAGTCAAGTCATCAACCAAGATTGTACACGCATGTGCCAACCAGTGTTCCCTCTAAGCTGAGTTAGTGTAAGCTAGCTCAGTTTTTTAGCCTCTGGCTCATACATTTTTGTCTTAGCTCAGGAAGGATGGCTCCAGAGCAAACTAATTTATGCAGTAGCCAAATTACTTGCTCACAACTTTAATGCCAGTCGCTCACAGAGTAGAATTTTTGCTCACAGGACTCCATAGCTTAGAGGGAACATTGGTGCCAACCCCATTTATGCCAGCATCTCTAGCTGACCGGCTGCAACATTAACCTGCTCTTTTGAAGAACGAAAAGGTATCTCTAATACAAGTTTACTTCATAAAAGTGTTGCCGGTAATAATTTGGGAACAATCGTCAAGATCAATCAGAATTAGCATCACTATGCCTATTGCAAAGGCACACAACTGAAAGACCTTTTGGAATGACATCAGAATGTTCTGAGCCACATGCCTTAAGTTATTGATTGACAGACATAACACTACTAAAGGAGACGACGTGAAAGCAGACATGGAAGAATGCCATAACACAAAAGTTATAATCAAGAGCTTTCTTGTTCCAACCTTCCAAATGACTTCTCTATATGAAACTGGGGGGGGGGGGGGGGGGGAGAGATTCAGAGCTTGCCACAAGGGCAATCAAAAAAGTATTTTAACGGAAGAGAAGCAAGTTTTCCAATAAAAATAATAAAGGGAAAGATCTCCCAAAGCAGGAAAATTCCCAGGCACCTGGAGAAATAAGTCACCAAGCCCTGAAATATTCAAGCACAAATGAAAGCGAAATATTTCTAAGCACCACTGATTTCAGGGAGAAAGCTTTAAGGCAACACGCACAGGCTTCCCCCTGCACATTCCAGCCTTCTCAATTAACTGTACTAGCAGAATTAAGTTCTTATGACTCCAATAAGAAGAGCCAGAAGATTCTCTGCTTTGTTCTCTAGATCTGGATCCTTTCTACGCATCCATAATCCTTCAATACAACAGAAGCAATTTTCACCGAAACTGGAGATGACTGAGTTAGACCTGTGATCTCAGTGACAGAGTCAGGAAGTTCTGTGTTTTTATTAATAAAAGACTGGACACGTGGCACGAATTATTCAAAAGTTGCAGGGTACTGTTTGTCTACACAGCAAACCAGGCAATTAGTTCCTGCCTTAACTTCTAAAACACAGGCAAGCATAAATCTCTCTGGCAGAGAAGGACTTTCCTATCTTTACAACATCAAAGTGTCAAGTTTTACCCTGACAGCTCATTGCCGAAGGCAGAGGTTACGTTACCACTGGCAAGCACGGAGAAGCCAACTTTTATTAGGAGGAGCCCAACTTTTATTAGGAGGAGCGTCTTTCTTGTAAAACAGGCAGTCGCAGTAAAATTATTTAAGAAAAGGTCAAGCCATAAACTTTGATCAGGAGAAAACGATCTCCACGAAATGTCAAGGTTTACTGTCGAACTTTAAGACAGCACTGCACAATATACCCTTTAAGGGAAAGAATTTTTGTGCCTTACGGTTTAACAAAAATATAGTCATTGACTTAAGGAAAATCTGACAAGCTGAGTTATAAGACAACTTATCTTAGGATCAAGCAAGGGTTGAAGACAACAATGATTAAAGCTTCAAATATATTCCCTCCCAGAACATAGCTATTACATACAGAAGGGGTCTAAAGAACCTGATGCAAACTGCCTTTGTCTTCTATGGAAAGCTTCCCAGTGGACAAGAAAAGCAGGCGAAATTGTATGTTATTACCCAAAGCTTGTTTCACAACCGTGTGCATGTACAAAAACAAGCAGATGGTCAAAACCTGGCATTAACTGACTTGTCCGCGTCAAGTCCTAAATGTTGTGTTTTAATATGACAACCAGAGTGATAAGTATGAATAGTTCTGGCATTTAAGAGCGGAAAACTGAAACGAAAGCTTCCACTTTGCTATGAACTGGCTAGCCTTGGGGAAGTCTCTTGGGTGCCATCCTCAGTTCGCCAACCTGTATAAAAGGCTCGCGGATCTATTTCAGAGAGAGGACGCAAAAGGTTGGATGAGGCAGAGACTGCGACATATGCAAAGTGCTACAAAGAGGATAACGGTCCAATGGGTATTATAAATTAAGGCAACCATTTCCAGAAGTTTTAACAGCAAGGAACCATTTTCTACATGGTCTATGTGCCTCACGGGATTCTCAGTTCATGAGGCAGGGACCTCACATGAACTCAGAGTACCCCTCTGCATCCCAGGCATGCACCTTTACACCTGCTGCCTAATTGACAGGCTATTCCTCCTCCTATCAAGTGACACTGACTACATGGATATGTCTTACCTTCAAAGGAGGAAATATTGTATATTATATCTATAGTTACAGCGTTGTATTATAGTTACAGCAGGGGTCATTTCCTGCAGGAGCAGAGCTCCGGCAGTAAAGAGCCCAGGGGGCGGGCACATGCAACAAGCCCCACCCCCTACCCCAACTAACTTGCTCCTATCAGTACCACCACTTTGAAAGTGACTTCAGAATTAGAAATGCTGCAAGGTGATTTGACCTGTGATTTACAAAGTAGTGCCTACTGAGAACCACAACCAGAAATCCTGCGACCGCATTTGCAAGAAATGAGACAGGGCCCAGTAAGGAACCAGGTAGAAAGAGTTGCTGCAGCAGCAACATCGCCCACTGTGGCAGAATTAAAAATTGCAACCCAAGAATGCTCTAGCTTGCAAGTCCCCAGAAGACATCCCCAATAAGACCTGAAAGGAAGATTAAACCAAAGTATGCACACCTGTCGCTGTTCTTGGCACACCTCCTTCAGGGACTGAGGAACTTGCATCATGTGCTCCTGTGCTGTTTTTCTGACCATCTGAGGTATAAACTCTTACTTGACTGGTTGGAGAAAGAGGCAGATGGTTACACGGCAGCAGACGGGAGAAACTTCCTAGTCTGACAGGCACCTGCCACCCTGTAGAAAGGAAAGGAAACCGTCCTGTGTTAGAAAGAAGCAACATGAAAATAAAATGGTCAGTTTTCGTCTGAAGCACTGTTGCTGGTCTATCACAAATAACTTGGATATATTAACTGTTGTCTCTGCATCCAACACTGCCGGAGAATTCCAGGAGATTCCTATTTATTTTCCCTTATAATGCACACACCGTACTCAAAACCCACATTATCATAACCTCAACTACGGTCTCAAGGTTCACAAACAGGCTCTTTTAAGATCAACCTCTGCTACAGTAAACCCCACTAGCAGACACAGAAGACATTACATGTTCCTGGATAATGGGGCAGAGCTACTGCTAAGTCAAAGAGCATGTGGGAAGTCCAAGCCCTGCCTTCTCCGGCTAAAATCGATCTTGTGTAATCAGGCTAGGAAAGACCTCTTTGCTTGAGATCTCGGCTGGGCCACCCATACAAGGGTTCAAGCCCTGCTAGGGGATCAATGTACCCATGTGAGGAGGCGTGCAGGCAGTCCCGAATTCATTCCCCAGCATCTCCAGCTAAAAGGATCTCAAGTTGTCTGGGCTGGTGAAAGCCTCACCTATCCTATCCCTTGGAAAGCCACTATGGGTCAGAAGAGACATTACTGAGCTAAACAGTCCAATGGCTTGACTCTGTATAAGGTAGGGCTCAACAAACCCCAGGCGCCAGGTCGCCATGACACCTAGAAATTACACTGTGGTGCCTAGTATTTTTAGCAACCATTTTATTGTAGTGTCTCTCAATGAGAAGTACAAAGCTTATCTTATCATTTCACATCAGAGTCAGTTTTGCTGCGTGGCATAAAAATGCACACGCATGAAGGCATTTTCACTGCTTGTTTATATGTTATCTTTACACCATTCACTGGTGGTAGACGAATTCGTTGCTAAACCAGCTGCTTTCTATACTGGCTCCAACATGCAATTAAATCGAGCTCTTAAAGCAATAAGGGAATTAACAGAAATAGGGGAGAGGTTAGGCTAGCCTTTTGTTGTAGTGATGACACCCAGGGCTATCCCTGCATTTACACACAACACTTTGTCCCACAAGCATTGTGGTAGTAATAATTTAAAAGTACAGTAATTAATATACAAAACTCTGAAGCCTGAAAAACAAGTCTGCTTCCTAAACTTGGGGGGCTGGTTCCTAGAGCCATAGAAATTTCATCAAGGCCTGCTGTAAGGCAGCTTCAGATGAGCCTAACTACAGGCCTAAAACCAGTCATTCATATTATGAACAGGGAACTTTCCATCTTTTCATCATTTTTCTTTCCCTTTCAAGCTGTTTACATTCCCCAAATGACTCACGATGGCCTGTGTTACGCAGGCAAGCTAGCAGAGGGGGGGGGGGGATAGAGTATGAGCTTTGAACTCCTAGACAATTTACAGGCCTAAGAACACCACAGTAGCACGTTGCGAGGGGGATGTTGAATGTGACAGAAAATGACTAGAATTCCCAAAACATTATTTCAAGGGCTCAGGGCACCAAGGCAGGCCCTTTCTAGCTTTCCTTTAAGAAAAAAAGATTCACTGAATGAATGAATGAATGTAATTTATTGCAGTCCACGACCAGATACAAGTTCACACAGCACATCACTTTTAAATATGAAGGAATAGATGTTAAAACACTCCAAATGATGAACAGATATAAAATTATAACAGAGTAGCTAATTAAAATATATGTAAAAGTTAATTAAAATAATTAAAATATATAAAAGTTAATAAAATAATATAAAACTATTCAATTATAAACCTAAAAGTTAAAACAAGCACTATTTAATCGAATCTAAAACAGAACTCAGAACTAAGAGACAGAACTAAAATTTATTACATACTCTAATCTCCTGAGCACAGAATTTGGCTGTTGCTTTAGTAATAGCTGCTTTTTCATCTGCTAATAGTTTATCTAAGCATACCCTGTCTGACACAACAGCTGATCTGTCAACAATGGACAGAAATGTACTATACCAGAATACCCTTTATTTTGTCTTTCAAGGGTATCATCAAGAACCTAGCACAGGAGTACCCCAAAAAAGGTACATAAGAACATAAGAGACGCCAATGTTGGATCAGGCCAAAGGCCCATCCAGTCCAACACTTTGTGTCACACAGTGACCAGAAATACCAGGTGCCATCAGGAGGTCCAGCAGTGGGGCCAGGACACTAGAAGCCCTCCCACTTTTGACCCCCCCCAAGCACCAAGAAGACAGAGCATCACTTGCCCCAGAGCCCCTATCTATACCTTGTGGCTAATAGCCACTGATGGACCTCTGCTCCATATGCTTATCTAATTCCCTTTTGAAGCCGTCCATGCTTGTAGCCGCCACCACTTCCTGTGGAACATAAGAGACGCCAATGTTGGATCAGGCCAAAGGCCCACCCAGTCCAACACAGAATCTCATGAAGGAACTGGAAGAATTGACTCAGTAATAGCACGATTTAGGTGGAGTAGCCAAAATGGTCTGAAGCATCAGAACAAAGTTTGAGTCCGGTGGCACCTTTAAGGCCAACAAAGTTTTATTCAAGGTGTACGCTTCTGTGTGCAAGCACACTTCCTCAGATACACCTCTGAGGAAAAGTGCTTGCACACGAAAGCTTATACGTTGGATAAAACTTTGTTGGTCTTATAGGCGCCACTGGACACAGACTTTGTTCAGTAATAGCAAGGAAGGAAACGCAGTGAGCCTATCAGGGCCCTTGAGGGGACAATATATTCCAGAGAGCCTGGAAGCAATGAATTATGCAAAGCAGAAGGAAGCACAAGCAGTGTCTGGGTAAACAAGAATGCAGGCAGCAACATGTGCAGCAGGGGGAAAGGATTAAAAAGGAACAACAAATCAAGAACTGCAGCCTGAGGGTCAATGAAGTCAGGCTGTTCTGTTGTTGGGAGTTCAAACTTAAGAGAACTAGCTTTTTAAAACATCCACACATCAAGATAAATACATGCAAATGAGATTTTTCTCCTCTTCCCTCCCGCCTCCCACACAGGTACCAATCTTATTAAAGTGAGATTAAAGGAACGTCTATGGCACAGTCTTTTCACATTATCGACCATCTTGGATCTTAAAATGAACTTTAATCTTTATTATGTACTGTAGAGCACCATTTTAGCTTGTATTTATTGAAGTTTTAATGTACTTTATGTTTTATTTCGGCATGGCCGCTGTTAGCTGCCCTGGGCCGTATGGGGAGGGAGGGATACAAATCCCAAAATAAATAAATAAATAAATATTTTAACACCTTGGATTTCATGTGAAGCAGCTGCTTATGTGAAAGCCACACACACACGCCCTTACAAGCTTGGTAAAGATCTAAGGGGGGGGTCTGTAGTTTTCAGATCGGGTTCTTTCAGCTGCAGAGCCCCTCCACCCAGAATGAAATCCAAGATGGCACCATGTCAGAAAATCAGTATCTGAACAGGTCCCAAATCATGTGGAAGAGGAGATTGGATTTATACCCCGCCCTTCACTACCCAAAGGAGTCTCAGAGCGGCTTACAAACTCCCTTCCCTTCCCCTCCCCACAACAGACACCCTTGTGAGGTAGGTGGAGCTAAGAGAGCTCTGACAGAAACTGCTTTTTCAAGAACAGCTCTTATCAGAACTACAGCTTGCCCAAGGTCATCCAGCAGGTGCAAGTGGAGGAGTGGGGAATCAAACCTGGTTCTCCCAGATTAGAGTCCGCGCACTTAACCTCTACACCAAACTGCAAGAGACTGGTGCCAAAAACTGTCAAAGTATCGGCAATGTACCCACAGTTTTGCACAGCTACAACTGGAGACAGTCCTTTGACTATCTGGGAAGCATCACGTGTGTGGTTGTGGTGCAATGGGGGGGCAGGCTGGCATGTGGAGGGGGCCAGAGCTCACATGTGTTGTGCACAGAATGTCCCACGTCCAACCACTAGCATCTCCAGTTAAGAGGATTCCAGAAAGCAGCACGGAGACAAAGATTTGCTGAAGATGGTCTCCCTGTCAGACCTTCCGGTCATATTAGGCAGTATTGCAGCTACATGAACCAGCAGACTGACACAACATAAAACATCCATGCCTAGAGCACTGGGCTAGACATGTTCAAGACCATGAATCAGCTAGGGCACAGATGGATCTACAAAATAAATACATGGTGGAACATAAATATGGAGTAAAAGCAGAATCTTTATGCAATTTCTCCTGCACTGCCTCTGCTGAAATTAAGCCCTATATGGTCACAAGTAAGCCACTCATTACTTTTGGGAAAGTGGACTGGGTGTGACAGAGATAAGAAAGTCGGGGGTGTATAGTTTTTACCATAAACATATGGAGCAGAAGCCCATCAGTGGTATAGATAGGAACTCTCAGTCTGGGGCAGGTGATGCTCTGTATTCTTGGTGCTTGGGGGGGGCAACAGTGGGAGGACTTCTAGTGTCCTGGCCCCACTGGTGGACCTCCTGATGGCGCCTGGTATTTTTGGCCACTGTGTGACAGAGTGTTGGACTAGATGGGCCATTGGCCTGATCCAACATTGGCTCCTCTTATGTTCTTATGCTGCTAACACTAGTTGCTCTGCTAGTATAGTCTCCAGTTCTTGCCAAAATAAACTGCAATGGTATGGAGCTTCCAAAGATTAGGCATGCTGCACCCAAACTCCAGAATTCTTTAGACTGTGACACAAAAAGGCAGAATCGGAGACGTTGTGATACAATGGAATTACTTCCGATGAAAGGCATTCTATTGCACCGTGGTAACAAAACCAACTGGAGCTGCGGTGGCTCAAGTGGTTAAGATGCTGAACTGCAGGCTGTGGAAGGTCGGTAGTTCAGCAGTTCGAGACCCGAGTGTGCTGCATGACGGAGTGAGCTCCCGTCTCTAGTTCCAGCTCCTGCCAACCTAGCAGTTCGAAAGCAAGAAATTGCAAGTAGATGAATAGGGATCACTTCAGTGGGTAGGTAACAGCATTCCGTGCGCCTTGGTGCTATGCTGGCCACATGACCACGGAAACGTCTTCGGACAGCACTGGCTCTTCGGCCTTGAAACGGAGATGAGCACCGCAACCCTAGAGTCGGACTCGACTGGCTTTCGAGCAAGGGAACCTTTACCTTTTAACAAAACCAAACAAATAACCCAGGATGGGCCTATGTGCACTGGCGCAACAAGAGTCCGCCCTATTTCTTTTTTCCTCCCGTGGAAGTAAAATGGCTACACAGCAGGACGTACAGAGAGATGTGAAACAACTTGGCCTGAATCCCTGGAGGTACAGCAGCTGACCAGAGGCAGCTTTCGTGCGGCCAGAAAGAGAGGCAGCTTGTGGAACGCAGCAGGTTCATACCGCCGCTCCGCCTGGAGATGCAAAGAGAGCACGAGGGAAGGTCCCAAGCCAGGTGCCACCGCCGGCACCTCCAGGCAAAGGCTCAGGTCGCAGGTGAGCGAGGCCGCTCCCAGTGTTCATTTATAGCCTCCCCACCCCGTTAATCAGGGCAGCGGCTTATCTCAGCCCGACCCAGGAGCAGTGTTCCCTCTAAGCTGAGTCAGTGTGAGCTAGCTCACAGTTTTTTAGCCTCCGGCTCACACGTTTTTGCCTTGGCTCAGGAAGGGAGGGCTCCAGAGCAAACTGATTTATGCAGCAGCCACATCGCTCGCTCACAACTTTAATGCCAGTCGCTCACAAAGTAGAGTTTTTGCTCACAAGACTCCACAGCTTAGAGGGAACATTGCCCAGGAGCTCCTGCCGGCTGAGCCAACACAAGGGCCGGGGGGGGGAGGAGGCCGGCAAGCCGGGCTCCCCCTTCCAACCGCAACCACTGCTGCGCTCCCCCCTTCCGAGCAGAGCACGTTCCTGGCACGGAACCGGGCCGGGTGCCCCTGCAGCGTCTCCGCCCCCACTCACCGTGGCCGCCTGCCCGGGAGAACGGCACCCCCGCCGGGCACCGGCCCCGCAGGAGCTGGTAGAGGCAGCCCCATCCCCGGCGCTGGGCGGCCAGAGCCGGCAGCATCCTCCCGCCGCTCTCTCAGCTGCGGCGCCCGAAGGGGGAAGGAGGAGGAGCCGCCGGAATCCGCTTCTCAGAGGCACGCCCGGCCCCGGCCGGCTCCCGAGCGGAGTCCATGGGCGAAAGCGGAACTGGAAGTGCGAGAGGCGCCGGGATGGTCTAGCCGCCTCTTATCTATGGCCTTTCCCTCCGAGTCCACCAACAAGACACCGACTCCTTGTGACGGCGGTAGTACGCATGCTCAGGGACGGGGGGAAGAGCATGCGCGCTACTCCCCTTCCCAAGGCTCTACACCCCACCCCCATTCAGGGCAAGAGAGGCGAACGAGCCTCTTCTGGCTCCCCTCCAATGAAAGCGGGCGGGCGTGACGTCATGCTCCCCCCGTTCTCGCGCCGCGGGGTCTTAGCGCCTCCCTCGCTAAACCTGTTCGTTCTCGTGAGCCGATCGGGCCGTTGTGTTTTGGAATGGGAGAAGCTAGAAAATGCTCCGCTACATTAAAAATAGGTCTTTGCAAATAAGATGATTGTAGCTCAGTGCTGTGCGAGCTGGGCTTCCAGGGAATTTTTGAAAGTTCAGAACTGCGTTGAAGTAGTAGGGTTTCCAGCTCTAGGTTGGGAAATACCTGGAGACTTTGGGGGGGGGTAGATCCAGGAGAGGGAGGGGTTTGGGGAGGGGAGGGGCCTCAGCATGGTACAGTGCCATAGAGTCCACCCTTCAAAGCAGCCATTTTCTCCAGGGGAGCTGATCTCGGTCGGCTGGAGATCAGTTGTAAAAGCGGTAGATCCCCAGGCCCCACCTGGAGGCTGGCAACAGTAAGTGCAGTTTGTCCTGCCACTGCAAGGATGGATCAGATTGAGAGGAGGCTCAATGAAACCTACCTATGAAAAGCCAGACTTGCTTCTAGAGCAAGGTGGACTTTAGTTCTATGCACATTGACAGGGCAGTAAATTCTATTGAGCGCAGTGGTATTTATCCAGCCATGAAATTCACCGGGTGAACTAGGAACAGCCACTGATCGCTTACCCTGACCTACCTCTCAGGGTTGTTGTGATGATAATATGGCAGAGGAGAGATCCATGCTGGGGGGAAGGGCCGGATAAAAATGCTCCCGATCCATGGACAGACTGTATGTGCCTGGTGTCAACTTAGTAATCTGCAGTCCTCTGCCCTCAGAAGTCCTGTTGAACTCAACTGGTATTTTGAGCAAACATGCCCCCGATGGGACTGCTTATTACAAGGGGTTGGGGGAGTCCACAGTAGTCATCAGCTCACTGAACCACCTATACTTACACCAAGCTTTCTATTGTTGTTGATGGCTTTGTTAGTGTTAAATAGTGGGTTCCATGGATGAGCAGACTCCAAGTCTAGTGATCAGCTCTACTTTATTAGTGATTTCAGCAAGACAAGACCCCAGAGCCTCTGCTCTGCTCATGCAATTGCCACACCCAAACACACCCCACTCCGAATGATAGGCTACTTACATAACATCACTAGTTGACTACTACTTGACTACTACTACTCCAGAGTCCTGGCAGGCTATTGTTCTTGGGCTCCAAGCTCAGCCAGTCTCCGGTGTGACAGACCTGGAATGATTCAGTCCCAATACATAACAGTTAGTATAATTCAACAAATCATTTTCTTGAGTCTTGGCGAGAGAGGCCAAATATGTGTAACCAGCTAACAAACTGATTGTTGGTTGGTAAGAACAGAGGACACTGAATGGCTCACACTGTTGATAATTAGCCACTCAAATCTCTGCTTGCTGTGTCAGAGATTCAAGCTTATTCCCCAGTTGACAGGTATTAGACAGACATGCGTAGAGCTGCCCAGTGTTTTGTTTCTGGCTGGACAGAGGCTTCAGCCTATGGAGCAATAGTTTCGATGCTTCAGCTGTTCCAAAATGCACTGGCAGCAAAGCAATTCTTTTCCCAGGGGTCAATGTACACAGCAGGCAGGATGCTGAAGTAGTCAGGAATGCTGAAACCAAATAAATGGCCATGGTGGTAAACCTAACAAACTATTTACTATGAGAATGACTTCCTGACCCTGTTTGGAGTAGCAAAGTCCAAAAACATTCCCTAAAACTCTGTAAACATCTGACATTCCAGAGGGGTTTCCTTAGTAGTCTTCTACAACCAAAGCGATGGAGAGTCTTGTGTCACCTTAGACTTGCAACTCAAGCTTTCTTGCAACCCAAGCTCACAATGTTGAAAGGGACACTCCATTGTGAAGCTGCCAAGTTGGAATTCATACACAGGGTTGACACTATGAGTTGGGAGCTCAGTATGGACTAGGATCGCTACAGAAAGTAACTGTCCCTTGTTCAAGGCTTATGGATGCTATTGGGCCCGTGGCATCACCACTTGGAAGTTGTCCTTCCTTTTGTACCCTTAGAAGCTCATTGATTCATGACTCTTGAGCAGCAGAAAACACGTATTTCTTATTTTTTAGATGCAGGAGCTAAAAGGACAGAGAAATTTTGCAATTGCTAGAGTGATCCTGGGATCCTTGTCACTGAACAAAAGAGCCAGGGTTTCCGGAGTATAGGGGGGCAGTCAGTTAAATAAAGGCTTAATATAGTAACATCCCTCATAATCTCAAAGAATCTGCATTCCAGCAGGGTGTGAAAAGATGTATCCATCCACATGGGCCAATTCAAAAAACTCCCTTGTGAAACCATTGTAGGTATAATGTTCAGTCTTGCAAACAAAAAGGCTCTGCAATAACGTGGGATGGTGAGATAGTACATAAGGGGGGGGTTAAGATTTTGGGTAAGAAAGCCCCCAAAATAGGGGTGAGCATATTCTGCGGGCTCTCAGAATCAAACTGCCATGGTCGATTTCCAGGACTCGCTTTTTGGATCCGAGAAAATGCTCGGAAGTGGCCCACACCCACTTGGATGAGAACCGTTTCATACCCTCACATACCACACATTTCGCTGAGAGGTGAGAAGTTCTAGGGGCGGCGGGTTCCCGGGTTGGCTCCTTTTGGAGGAGTGAGTGCCAGAGTCTTATTCCCCCCCCCCCCGGAAACATTGGCATTATTTACAAATGTACAGGGGTAGCACGGTTAAAGGCACTCCTACAGGGCATCGGATCCCCCAGAATAGAGATCTTGTGCCTCCAAAGTGTGTCAGCCCCCTCTCGGCAGCAGTACGGTGGGGGAAAGTACTGTTAAATCTCAGCCGACTTATGGCAGCCTTGTAGGGTTTTCAAGGCAAGAGACGAACAGAGTCGGTCGCCTTTGTGCAGCGGTCCCTGACATCCTTGGTGGTCTCCCAACCATGTACTAACCAGAACCAACTGTGCTAAGCTTCTGAGATTCGACAACATCAGGCTAGCCTGAGCTATCCAAGTCAAGGTCAGCAGCATCTACATATCTAATTCATGCCCCCAATGTGCGGATATCTAAATCTGCACATCGGGGTCACTTGAGGGGCAGGGGGGTTTTGCTGCACATTTGAGGCAATCCCCAGATGTGCAGAAAAATCTAAAAAGTTGAAAAAAGTATATGGGGGATATTTTAATCCCCCCAAAAGTAAAAGAGCCTCGCATGCGCAGAGAAAGCACTTACCAATAGGAACTGTGGCTGCTGGCAGTGGCGGCGGCACAGGAAGAGAAGCCTTGGCAGCCGGCGTCTGGGAGCCGTGGCCATTGCTAGGGGGGCCATTGCTGTCATTGCCGCTGGCGGCAGCGGTGGCAGCGATGGGGGGGGAGGGAGAAGAGCCACACAGGGCTCGCCGCCTTTGCTGCTCGTGGCCACGGTGGCTGGGGGGGGGAACCTTGGAGGGCAGGTGGCTAGCCGCAGCCGTTGCTGCTGTCATCAGGTGTGTGTGTGTGGGGGGGAATCCTGGCGAGCCCAACAGACCACCTGCTGGGCTCACCTGCAGCCGCTGCCACATTCTCCTCTGTGTGGAGCTCCTGCTGCTTCAGCAGGTGAGCCACCCAGGAGCCGCAAGAAATACCCCCCCCACATGAGTATCGCGGGTCCTGCCTCTTGTTACAGTGTCTATTTCTGACTAGAGAGATTCCATGGGAAGGTAAAGCAGCGGCCGTCATGACCCACCCATCCTCATTCCCCCCACAGTGAACAGTCCCGAGACATCATTCTTGGCCATAGAGGCTTCCTTGCCACTCTGCAAGGCTTACAGTCTGCAAAACACCCTGTAGATTAAACTGAGGAGAAGCAGGACACATTCTTGGGTTTTTTTGGTAAGGAGCAAACTAGCTTCCAACATGTTCCAGATCTGTTTGTTTCTTTAAGGCTGCAGTCACACACGCTCAATAATCCACTTTCAGTGCACTTTCCAACTGGATTTTTACTGTGAACTGGCAAAATCCAGTTGGAAAGTGGATTGGAAGTGGATTAGTCAATTGTGTGTGACTGCAGCCTAAGAGTACCACGCTGGAGGAGGCAATATACGCCAAAGTGTGGCCCTCAGCCAGAATGCCACAACTGTAAACTTCATGCAGCCTGCAGTAGGGGAGCGGTCGGTTTGCCTGGGGCCAGGGAACTGTCCGTGGTCCTGAAGATCTTGTGGCTGACATTATGCCAGCCACCACCCCTTAAGTGTTGCTTACTTGCATCCAGAGCCCATGCTGGTAGCTGTAGTTCCTGCTGGTCCTGTGCCTGATCTGCCCCACTTCAAACATAAGAGTCCTGTTGGGTCAGAACAAAGGTCCATCTAGTTCAGGTACCTGTTTTCCAAAGTGGCCAACTAGAAGTCCTGGAAGGCCCCCAAGCAGAGACTCGGAGACCAAGGCCTATCCCTCACTAACAACTTGCATTTCAGGAGTGTGTCTGCTGCACTGTCAGGATAGGGTGTGGCCAACGCACACTCCATAGTCACTCTTGGAGACTTGACAAGCCTCAGGCTAGAGATGGAAGTTTGGTGTAGTGGTTAGGAGTGTGGACTCCAATCTGGGAGAACCAGGTTTGATTCCCCACTCCTCCACATTGCAGCGGTTGGTGTGACCTTGGGTCAGTCACAAGTTCTCTCACAGCTGTTCTCTCATGGGCAGTTCTCGAGAGAGCTCCCTCGGCCCCACCTACCTCACAGGGTGTCTTTTGTGGGGAGGGAAAGGAGGCTGTAAGTCACTCTCAGACTTCCAGTGAAGGGC